TCAGTATTAGAAAAACTATTAATGTAACCAACTACATAAATAGGACAAAGAATAAGAACCATGTGATCATATTAATAGATGCAGAAAAGGCATTTGACAACATCTAACACCCATTCCTGATAAAAAACACTCAATAACAGAAATAGAAAGGAGAGGCCTCAACACATGAAATATATTAAAGCAAACACATTCTGTGCAGGACAATTAGTTGACTGGAACTTGGTCAAAATAGACACTTGTTCACATAGAAAGGTTTCATAAAAAAGTCATACAGAACCCACAGATTTGGGGGAAATAAATCATTAGCAGTGAGGATAGGGCGAGAGCAGGGGAGGAGAAGAATAGGAGGAGGAGATGTCAACTGGACAACTGTGACATTTTCAGGAGTTCCCCATCTCGATGCTCACCTGAGCATGCACAAGGGAAAGGAGCCTTGATCTGGGTGCTGTAGCACAGGGAGCAGATCCTGAAATGCGTGTCTGAGGATGAAGCAGGTTGTTTAGTGTCTTCCTGTTGTGGCTCTTGATAATACAAGGCTCAGGCCTCTTCTTCGAGTTAGGTGGTTGAGGGCCGTTCAGGTGGAACCCAGGAGAGACGTGGTCAAGTGGAGCAGATGGCATCTGATGCTGTCAAGTGCGTGTCTCTGTGGTCCTAGCAGCTGGAGTGTCTCTTGGGAAAGTTCCCTCTAGGGAAGCATGCCTTCCACCCACCACTTTTCTTTCAGTTTGTCTTTCTGTCTGGGCTTGCGTGTTGCTGTGATTCAAATGCAAGCAGGGCCACCCAGAGAACAGGTTTCAGCAGGGTTTCCAGACTAAGAAGAAACTACTAAGAATGAATCCGTTGCCACTCCAGGCGCTGAGCCTCACCTCCAGGCCCCTCCCTCCAGGTCGCCCTCATTATCTCCAGGCCCCGCCCCCTCGAACAGACATCACCCCGCCCACAGCCCAGGGGATGCAATTTCCTGCTGAACCCACTTCCTCTTCCTGAGAAGCGTCCGAGTGAGCGACCCTTGAGTTTCTGCGGGTGAGTGAGTTTCCGTGTGTCTGTGCTGATCCCAGGCGCGGAATCCCTCGCAGGCCTGGCGTCCCCAGCCGGGTCCGGGTTCAGGCGGATTTACACTTCCCGCACCCCGTCCGCCAGTGTTCCAGGTCGCCGCGAACCCTTGGGGCAATTCGAGTTAAATCCTTTCTGAGCTGACTGTAGGCCTCAGCCTTCGGGCCTGGGAAAACTCTGGCCACTTTTCCTGCTCAGAGCTCCTCCTGCACCCTCACCCCTCCCTCCAGAAAGGCGCGATTGGGTTCTTGCCTGGGGCCCGTCCTTTCCGTGTCAGGTCGCGGGCATGAGAGCAGGGGACCCCAGAGTGGCCTTTACTGAACGGAGAGGTAGCCTTGCAGTCATCAGACCACTCCGCTGATGACCGAGGTCTGTACTAGAGCTTAACTTCTCAGCACCTTGCTTTACAAAAGGGTATAATAGCAGTGACAGCCCCAAATCTCCGCACAGATTAGGTCCTCACATGGATTGCAGTCCCCTCATAGAGTGAACCTCCACTGAGTGCTTTCTGCCCAGGAAGCAAGGGTGTAGGTTACATGGCCCTCAGGCAGAGAGGGCTTTGGAGTGCTGCCAGCTCCAGTAAAGCTTTTCTTTTGATCTTTTCGGTGTGGCCCTGATTAATCTTGAGACCTGCATGTAACATTTTCTTGGAACCAAATTCTAAGTTTGTAAATTCTTTTTATCCTGTTGGCTTTTTTCATATGTTAA